GCATGTTGACGGTACGGACTCGTTGAGCCGCCAAACTAAAGCCGCCTATATATTATATAAGCAATCAATAGTTCTCTAAAACTTTACACCCGATTGATTTGAAATTTAGTATAGTTACTCATTTCACAATGTAGATGCTTACTAAGAAGTTACTCATTCTGAGCCATGGTAGCCCAGAATGAGCTGGCACGAATCATGAAAATAAATACCATCAACTGCGCATGTACAATTAAGCAGAAAAGTGAAAATCTTGTTATGGGATTTTAATATGTAAAAAGTTAAAGATCGGCATTATAACTACACATCAATCTCCACGAAAACAGAACGATATTTTGATATAACATCGTTAGGTTTTAGTTGCTTCTAAATAATACTCGTATTTTATGTATTGTATTCGTATGTATAGTATTTTATGTACACTTACTTATAGAAATAAAATATTATTTATTTGTATTTTTGTATTTTTAATTGCTGTTTAAACTATACTATGTGACAGCTTTCTATTAAAGGGATATATTACATGCAATAATTTGCAAAAAAATAATCTTGTAGAAAATAAAATATTTACAACTTTATACAATATACTACGAACTACACTATTTTAAATAGTCTAAAAATAATTAGTAAAATAATAAATATTTGCACTATTTACCATCTGCAAAACAACTATATTTTTAAAAGTACACAAATAATCGCAAAAATTAAAGAACAAATATAACAAGTAGTCGCTAAAACTTTCGATGTCGATAGTACGCAAGACGACATAAGAAGATGCGCGGGCGACGGGACGCAGGGAGACTACGCGCGAGCAGCGCGTCACCCATTGCTATGGTTTCGCTTCCCCGTACCTCACACCGCACCGTGCTGACACCTATTTATCGCTTCTGCGCAGTTCCATGATTCGTGGCGTGAACTATACCATCTTTACCATAAGGACACACGGGGCCCGTGCCCATGGTCCCTATCGTCACGGAGGCCCCCGTGACGAAAGGCATCGGCCTAATTCTCTTACGCTATACAATCTTTTTTCTATTTTAGGAAAATATAACCCAACACAAAAAGTTATAGAGTAAATGAGGCCGTTTTTGTTGACAATTTACACATTACCGAGTTAGCCAGAAGAAGTGGCATTGACAGATTTCCTAGGTAGAAAATATATAATTCCGCGTGTCGCTGCCATCTAAACGTTGGTGTCGGGCTGTACAGTCGCCTTACTTACAGCATGGATATTTTTTTAATTTTCGACAATATATACATTTATAATCTATGAGATAAAAATATCATTCGTACTGTTCAATAAAAATAACACTTCAAAAGATTTAACCGCAGATGATTTAATATGATAATTTTCAACCGCAAATATTAGATTTTATACTTACTAGCAAATAATTGTTACGGTCCTAATTTTTAGACAAGTGAAGCCTACATTTTAATGTAATAAATAAAAAGAATACACGTATTGATGTTGATATAGAATATTTTCTTTTTTTGAAACATTAAAGTTTACAATTTTCTCAGAAATTATCGTCCCCGCTATGAAATCTGTCAAATATTTTACCTCATTGAAAGTAGCACCGCCCTGGTGGCAGAAAAAGTCATCATTAATGCACCAGAAAAATGTCTTTGTTATTCACTTTTTGTTCTACTTTCCAAATGGGCCCCAAATTCTTGTGTGCCCAAGAGCCCCTGCATGGCCTAAAACGGCGTTGATGAGCCTTGGTAGCTCAGATGGTTTACGCTCGCTGTAAATATTATAGTACGCGAGTAATCCGGCATCAATGAAATTGCTAATTGCAATTTTAAGTGCTGATTTACCACGTGCTCGGCGGTGATGGAAAACATCGTGAGGAAACCTGCATGTCTGAGGAACAAGAAAAAAAATATTTCGAAGACATCGCCAACACGCATTGGGGCTGCGCGGCGGATACTTCCATGCCCTTAAACCCTCTAAGAAATGAGGGGAGGCCTGTGCCCAGCAGTGGGACGTATATAGGCTGTAACTTTACTAAGAACGGATTTTACGATAATACCATCACAAAAGAAAACAGGTTCTGCAATAAAATATTATAGTGCGCCCAGGGAAGCGAGAGTGTATCAGCTAGTTGATAATTATAAAGTAAATATGTGAAATCTCTGATTGCTTAACTAGAAGTTAAGCATGTCCTTAGTCAACAATTCTATTTACAGTGCCACCGCCTTATCTGTTCAGGTGGACAAAATTTGAATTAAGGCAGTCATTTTATAAATGACATTTCGCTGTAAGCTATTATTTATTCTGTGCTCTGAGGAGAGTGCTTTGTTTGATTTCATTGTGAAAAGTGGAAATAAATATATGTATGTAGTCACCTGTCCTCGGTAAATTTCTTAAGTGGCAGTAATAAGCTCGCATGAAGTTGACCGTCCGAACTTTTTCGGGGCCGTATGAAAATCAGCGCTGCAAGCTCGCGGCTTTGCTGAGACGGTCCTTTCCACCACTTAATCATAGCACATTGCACATACACATATAATGAATGCATTTCTATTCATCATCATCATCATCATTGCAGCTAATCAGAAGTCCACTGCTGAACATAGGTCTCCCCCAAGTAATGCCACAAAGCACGGTCCTGAGCCACTTGCATCCATCGACTTCCTACATGTCTTACCAGGTCGTCACTCCATCTAGTAGGGGGCAGAAAATTTCTCGAGTGGCAGGCTTGTACCGGTAGGCGTAGTGTAGGGCATTTCCTTTATTTATTCATATTTCCTGTTTTTTATTTAGTTTTTAATAAATCACTTGTTTTATTTTTAATTTTAATTTGTTATGTGTAAGTGTAGTGTTGTAGATGTAAATGTTGGAATAAATGTCTTCATGTCTTATATCTACGTCATCTCCCATATGCAGGCCAGCTTGAGTTGGATTCATCGGTTGATCTCTCGGTCGAAATTGATTTTACCTTTGCGAGCAATTAGTTCTAGGTACCTACTCATTGATATACTAAAAATGGTATGTCAGTGTACCTACTATATACCTATTTATTAACAACTTCAAACATAGTGTTCTCGACAAATTGTCGTTGTTTGTTTTAAAACTTATTTGTCGGGAGACACACCATGTTTATTTTAAAACCTATTAGTCGAGAGACACTATTGAAGTCATTGAGCATAGTGTCGTCCAGCGATCCTGTAATAAAGATAGCAAATCGAAAATGAGCGATTTATTCGCCATTGATGTTGATACCGTGTCATTTTTAGTGCAATACATCTTTCAATTTAGCGATAAAGAATTTTGAGGGAATACCATCACCCTCTGTTACTGTTACTTTTTATTTGATTTCGAAAGTTCAAAAGAGAGTCTCACCAAGGTATTTTTTTTCCTTCCTTTAGAAGTAAATTTTTGTAACGGTTATTAACGATTCTATTTCTTATGAGATAATATAGCGTTCTTTTAAATGTATTTCATTCATGAATAAAGTTTAAAATAAGGTTTTAAATCGCTGTTTAATCATTTGAAACTATGCTGACGATCAAATTTGTACCTCTTTAATATAGTGACATCTGTTATAAAATGCAAAAAGTAATATATTTTGCTCTTAGTTGCTATTAAATATAATAATAGAAAGTACTAACATTTATATATTTTTATAATTATATTTATAAAATACTTAAAAAATTCCGACTTTCAATGTTTGGTTTATTTTCGGTATTTCATTTTAATATTCTTATAGTTTATATTATAGATGATAGTGAAATCTATTAATAATATGAAAATTGGTATGATATTTATTTTAATTACTTATCTTATCTTAATAAAATGATTAAAATTTGTATGTTTTTGCAAAACTCTGTCGACGCCAGATAGTCGACAGTCGACCCTATTTTATTTCTTATAAGGCGCTTCTTATAATGTTATTGTATAGAGTCATACACCAACCGTACAATCAACCAATCACACTGCACAAATACTCAACCCGTCATTCCCCACACCCGACCCGACACTCACATTCCCATTCGAACGAAACATCCCTCCGAACAAACAAGACACAAGCAGAATACCTAGAATAACGTAATTAATAAAACTAAATTCAATCGAATAAATCTTTGAGAAGATCTACGATATCTTTCTTTTGTTCATCGCGAACACTCTCATTAACCATTAAGATACATTTAGAGGTTTAAGCATTTACTTTTACAGTGTGGACTCTCAGTTTTATCTGTATAATAGCGCCATCTACTTATTACTAAACAAACTAATAATAAATAAGTAGGTAATACTGATAGAATGAAAATAAATATGACACTGAATACGTATTAGTGCAGAATCAAAAATTTGACTATTATCGGGATGATTTACCGCAGTTGAATAATTTTATAATTTTTATGAAAATATCATCAGTAAGCACAAGTCAACAGCTGAAAATAGCAGTCTTTTTAAGAAATTGCTTCCATCGACTTCCTGCATATTTGTGACCAGGTCGTCACTTTTCTGCATCCAATGAGGGGCTGCCCTATACTTCAGTTATAACTAGTTATCGCAGGGATGGTTCATAAAATAAAATGTTAATCGATATTATGTTCTGTAAAAGATAACCGCTTATCTGTTAAACAAAAATTTCGCAATATGGCCGATGTATGGCCGTGTGTATGTGCGTGTGCGCGTGCGTGCGTGTGCGCGTGCGCGTGCGTGCGCGCTCGCGTGCGCGTGTGCATGTGCGTGTGCGTGTGCGTGTGTGTGTGTGTGGGGGGACGATGTCATAAAAAAAATGTTAATCGATATACCTGTTCATTTAATTAAATACATTCTAATCGTTATTCCTCTTATATTACGGTTAGTTACCAAGATTTTTAACACCATCTACAATTTTATCTTTAGTACTCTTCTCTGGTGTAACGGCGTCGGCAACAGCGCTGCACGCGTCACTCACTGCCTTCTTCGCATCGCTCGCAACACTTTTCACGGAATCTACCGCATCATTCGTAGCACTTTTCACGGAATCCATGATGTCACTTTTTGATCTGTTTTATTGTGATATGAATGCAACTGTGGCTACCCCAAGTAACTGAAAATATAAATCAAAACAACTGTTATTATACAGATTTTTTCTAAATGACAAATATATGCAAATAATGGTAGTTACACTTATATTTAAATAAAATAAATAAAAGAAAAATTCTTATATAGTTAATAGTTTTTATCGATTAGAAATTTATAGACAAATAGTCTCCATACATCTCACTGTCTGGATTTCTTGCATACAAGAAATTTACCTCTATCTATTTCCAAGATGACTTTTGGAATTACTTCTAAGAAAAGTAGTAATATTAGAGACTTGACATACGCCAAGTTCATTATATTCAGGCAACAAGGGTTCGATTCCCGCTGGCTCTACTAAAATTTGTTGATAGCAGATATGCATTGATTTACTCTGCATACAATTAAATCTGCAAGTATGGTAATCATTTGGACGTCTTCGAGAACGCATGAAGTCCGCCAATACATGGCAGCGCGACAGACCCCTACATGCTTCTTAAGCAGAGTGAGTTTGATGTATGATAATCCAAATATCTCCTAAAGCATACCTACACAGTAACAATATATTTTAGCTAGCAGTACCGGCGTGGCAGGAGGTTCTAAGAAACTCCGTTGGAGGGTTGGTTGCCGCTTTAAATGACCTGATTTTGCAACATTTAACGCACGCAAACTTAGGATCAACGGGAAGATCTTTAAGTTGAAATCAGAGATAGACAAGTCGCATCGATATATTAAAGGATTATCTGGGGTCCGAAAAGCGGGAGAGAATACAGTATTTCTAAAATCTGGAATCTTGTTTTATCACCGAGCGGGTGACTATTTATCTCTAGGAGGTATCGGATTTATTGTCCACAAGTCTAACGTTGTAACGGTTAGGAGTCTGTTGGCGAGAGTTGCGCACCTTATATTCAGAATCACCAAACGGTATTCGTCAAAGGTGACACGGGTTTACGCATCAACCTTGTCACATCCCGATGCAAGTAGAGGAGATGCATGAGGATATCTCTGGAGCTATTTATTCTTTCAAGATTCAAAATATGGTGTTGATAGAAGACGTCAACGCAAAACTACCTATACGAAGGTCAAACAATTGCAGGTAGTGGGAAATTTGGAATTGGGTAATGGAACCTAAAGGGTCAACAGCTTGACTGACTAAAATAAAATTTAATTTAACATAAACTATAAAAACAAAAGTTTTTATAAGTATGTATTAATTGTTCATTCTTATATTAAAAAAGGTACTACATCAGTGTAAGTTTCATTTTTTCAAAGGAGAATGACCAAAAGTGGTACCAAAAAGTCTCGCGCATCAAGTCTAAATTTTAATAGTAACTAGTGTCATAATTTTTTACGGCATTACGCATCCTGGGATTAGATTTTTGAACAGGGATTTTTTTGATTTTAAAGTATGGATATTTTATTATTTTTTTATTTAACTGGTTTTACGGCTCTGGCTTCTAACCCTTTTGAGCATTTAATATCTTTCGGAAACTTCATTTTTATATACATTGCAAAGTTCTTAGGAGATTTTGACGACAGCTCAACCGCTCCATGCTCCATGTAAAACAATATACATACAGTTTTTTCGGCGGAAACTTGGCCGTCGACGGATTGCCGCTCCTATTTTGCCGCTTCAATAATGGTTTGAAGTGGATTTTGATTCGTAAAAGTAATGCGATTTTGTGAATTAAGTATCTGCGCGTGCGAACTATTAAGGAAAACGACGAAACAAGTGCTTTGATGTTGATATAAACCTCAAGTATTTTTGATCGCTTGGGCGCGTTATGAACTTGAGTGGCTGTTGTCATCAAATGTCCGTTGGGTTCAGTTGTCATCAAAATCTCCCAAAAACTTCGTAATGTGACGCATAAGCATATTGTAAAGAAAAAATATATAAAAATGAAGATTCAAAAAGAAATGATAGGCTCAGAAGGGCTAGACTCCAAAGCCGTAAAGCCAGTTAAATAAAAAAATCCTATAAATGAGGTTTATAGTATTTGTGCCTACAAACTACGTATATCGTATACGCATTACGCACTATCTTTGTTCTACTCGTAACAAACACAAATGTGTGTTTTGAGAGTTGAGATTAGTTAGTTATTGAATTGTGTGTTGAGAAGTAGAACTTGTTAGTATTTTGTGAACTTTTTTTCTGTGTAATTAATTGTGCAAATATGTCGAGTCGTGGAGTCGACCGATTGACACCGTCAGTCACCCGGCATAAACGATGTAGGTATCAATTGTTCATTTTTGATACTCGGAAACCTACCTACATTCATTGGAACAAGCATCTACTTCAATGATTAACTTGTTACAGTCGTGGATAACTCCTACTCAGGTAAGCAGATCTTATTTTACTCTTTGAATATCAGATTTCTATCATCGTCTTACAAAACATTTTTATAGAATGAAAGAAATATTTATTTTAGACAGCACAGGCAAATAACAAATGAATAACAAAAAAGGCTTTAGGCTTTTTGAGGCCAAAAAAGGTTTTAATCTTGATTAAATATAGATGTAACTTCTGTGAATATGTTACAGAAGGCAGATAATGTCAAAAAGGTTAAAAACAAACTTTTTAATTCATGGTTTTTATTGCAGTTGTCTTCAGAATGTGTGCTTTGTACAGTATTTGAAACTGTGTCAAGATCAAGCAAACACAATTAGTGAAGGACTGCCTGTTTTTGGTCATAGAAGTATATGTTTTACTTGTGGCAATTCTATTCTACGTGCAACTAGAACATATCCAGTAAGACAAGATTGATAAGAGAGAAACATTTTAGTTAGACATGTTCCGCGTTGCTATACTCGTAAATATTTTTATTTATGTTGCAATATAAAAAAAAATCAACTTCTTATTAATGTTCTTATTTTCTCCAGTCTTCAATAGTTTTAGTTATAATACTGTAATTATATATGATTAAAGTAAATATATTTTAAATAAATATTTTTGACTAAATCGCTATTAAAAAACCCAAATGGACTTGTTTGTTTTATTTTTTCTATCACTTACCTAATCGATTCACAACGACATGAGCTTGAGCAATAGTGCCCGTCATGAATAGTATCTTATCTTAGATTAAAGGGTGTAAGACGCTCTAGACTCAACGAGCATTTTTTCCTTCTGAGTGGTCATCCTTATGATAATGTATTATTGATATTGGTGTGGTAGTCTGATCGCGGTGGCGTCCAATTATATACATATTACCTTTAGATACGTTACCCCACTCACAGTATTGGCAATATCTAAAAAGGTCAGGCAAATATCAGGGTTTCAGTCACGCATCAATTGGCGCGGCTACGCGTTGCTATAACTCTTTTCTTACTAATATTAATAGATTACGCTGTTTTTGGAGCAATAATGTTTGTCCATGTTTAAAGTGTATATTTAAAATAGGTCGTTGGTAGCATCGAAATAGTGACGTATTTAATATTTTTAGGTTATTTTCGATTTTATAAAATATCTCCAAAACCCGGGTTTTTTTTTCTTCAAAAAGGATTTGTAGGAGTTAATAGGATCAGTGTAGTCTATAAAAACAAAGTTTAATTTTGATGCAACATGCATTGACTTATATATTACTAGCGTAAGGACCGGGCCGACCGAACAACTAAAACGGACCAGTGCGCTGGCCCTAAAATTACAGTTTAGGGCCAACGCGAATTGGTCGATAGTAGTGCGCGCGCAGGACAGATTTGCCTGTCATAAATATGTCTAGTTGCGTGGTATAATAATGCAAAAATTACGATACAAAGATTTAAAAAGGAACATGGGATATCGTATCGTCAGTTAATAACCCTGTATTAATTTTGTTACAATTAAATTATTATATGAACGCATTTTTAAAGTTTTATTTTACAGTTAGTTTAGTTACGTTACCAATATTAGGCCAGGGTTGGATTCAGAACCTCAAAAATATTGTACATGAAAAATAAAATTATACTATTAAAAAAAATTATATCACGTTTGACGTTTCATGTTTCTTTTTTCCCATGTGCCGGGATTTTGGCGTCACGCGTCTAGTTTATCTATACGTTTCGTTTTTGACGGTTTTATTTTTATTTCTGTTTTATTTTTGTCTAAAAACTTAGAATAAGTTTAATATTTTTGCCTTATATATTTTATATTCAATAAGCTTAATTGAATCTGAAAATCTGATTCATAAAATATTTTGAAATTCTGTTTTCTAACCGATTGCTTAGGGACATTATAGTTATATCAAGGATGAAACATAAATGCATCGATCGAGCACCGATTGACCAGAAAGGGAGCTAATTCTAATTTTATTAAAAAAAAAAACGCGGTACTCATGTACAATACAGAAATTCTCGATATCGTAGGGTTAATATTAAAAAGTAAAATGACCAAATAATAATACAAGTCGATCTTTAGGTAAAATGATGGTATTTGCGCTTAATATTATTACGATACTATATACTACATAATATGAAATAATGGTACAGTTAGGATAATTGTACTATGAAATCCGACCCTGGTTAAGTCGTGTTATGATATGACGTTTGTATTATGACAGATGCGCTACTTTTTCTTGTATGAAAAAGTTATGAGTAAAATATTTAGATGAGCCTATCCTTCCTTTTGAAATCGTTGGCAACATGGTACGAGATTCCATACACCTATGGGCATTCTTCTTTACAATGAAAAATATCTGTACTTAATATATTAATACATAGTTTATTGAATTTTATCTATTTTTACAGCTTTCCATTTTACTCGAATTTAAGTTTAATTGCAATATTCTCAGAAGAATGTTTTTCAAAGAGACAGAACACGGACTGACAACGTAGGTAAGAGTCGAAAGAAAGCAAAGTCCATGTGGGTCAAAGCTAGTACCTACAAAATATGTCAACATTATCCAAAAAACACAATTTCTAATTTTTAGCCAGGAAAACCTTGTACATTTGATATAAGTTAAGTTTTACTTCTGGAGGAATGCCCATTTTCGGCCATGGAACGCCCAACAACATGAATTTGTTAAAAAAATATATCTTTATTTATGGTTATTAATC